GGAGCAAGGATGCTTGCTACTAGGGGCTCCTGGCCTTACTACTAGGAACAAAAGATCATGTTTTGCAAACTTTAAATTTCTCCTTCGCCACTGCGCGTTCAACGGACGCTTCTCCGTTGGCCCCCTGCAGCCAGGTCGCAGCCCCAAACGCTTTCCAAAACAAAATCCAAATCCTGAAAAAAACCGCCTCCGCATTCTCCGCACCATCAAATTTGCCTCAGTATGTTTTGCTCTCAGCACTAGCTGTGCATCCAATCCCCATCTGCTTTATATAAACTGGTCTGCATCCTGAAAGTGTCAGTGCAAATCCTACCGCAAGCTGAACGGGAAACAAGTGAGAAAATATGAACGGCAAGGGTCTACATGCAGTGACAGCACCGCATCCCATCGTGCGTTTGTGCCTGGGACAAATCAGCTTTTGCATGTTTTGAAAAAGCAAGGCCGCAAGGCTCGCTGCCTCAAAGAAGGCTCGTGGAACCGGGAAGCATCTTTTTTCTATGAGCCAAAACGCAATCGACAGTCCTGTGCTTGGAGGAAATCTTGCAAAGCACGTTCAGTCGATTGTTGGCTTTCCATCTCATGCAAAATGGATCATGTTCATGTGGGCTTTTGCGTCAAAACCGATCAAGTCATTTTGCTGCAGCCAGTGCAGAAATCATCTTCGCCTCGCGAGCTATCATCCAGATTTGATGTTGAGACTAGCAAGTCGTGGAAAGTGCTTGAGCAAACAAAAGTCAAACATTCAGGGAACGCTGAACAAACAATCCCATGTTTCCCCACACAATACGTGTGGTAGCCTTACATCGTGACAAGCGTGTCAACATCAACACGTGCACGCGCAGGAGACCATGACTGTCCAGCCACTTGCTTCGGGTCCCTTTTTGAGTCATCTGTCATTCTTCTTGTCATACAACCTAAGAGCGATGGCCTCCAACCTACTAACGATGGCCTCCAACCTACTGGCAATGGCCTCCAACCTAAGAGCGATGATGGCCTCCACCCTAGTAGCGATGGCCTCCAACCTAATCTTTTTAGTCTTTTTAGATGTTTGTTGATCCTTTAAAGACCATTTTCTCTCATTCTTTGACATTCTTGTTTATGAGCAGGGACAGTGCTACACCTCCACCGATACCTCTTCCATGCTTACCATAAATCTTTCTTGAAGCTTTTGGAAATAGAAGGAAGTAATTAAACACAAATGGAAACTCATTTTGGGGTATCCAACATGCCTTTTTTCAATTGGGTACTCGGGATTAGAGCATTCCGATTGACCATTTTGCCTTCCAAATGGGTTTTTATTGACATTTGCACTTTGCCTCAGCTGTTCGGCAGACTCAAGGTCAGCATTTTTGGGATATGGCCCAACTCGCGCAAAATTAATGGCGACAAACATCTCGCCAAGGATGTCGAAATTGTTCGGACCAAACATGCTCGGTCCAGTGAGTCCAGAACTGGCCAGAAGAATGCAGAGGTCAAACTGACAACAGGGGTCAACTTAAGCTACTAGGAACAAGTGCATCGCTACTAGGAACAGGAATAAAAATAAATTAGAAATCAAACAATCGTCGTTTGATGTGAAGGCAACGCCAGGAGACATTCGCCATTGTTTGAGCGACGACCAACATCGGGAAAAGATATGAGGCCATCAGCCATCGCTATTAGGTTGGAAGCCATTGCTATTAGGTTGGAGGCCATCGCTACTAGG